CAGTTGCTCCCGTGATTAGAATGCTTGATCCGGACGCGGACATATTAGCTATTAAATGTTCATACGTGAGCTATGAGTTGGCAGTGATGGAGCAACAAAAGTATTAGTTCTTGAAGATGGCTCACCTCCATTGGCCACGAAACGGGCTTTTCCGGTGAATAAAATCGGATTCTCGTCATTATCCTGACCACTCGAGCCCTGAAAAGTCAACACCGCGATGCCTTCCTCAATACTTCCAATATTTGAGACTATTCCAGACGAGCGAGATATACTAGCCGTGAGGTTCAAACTACCGTTCACACTAGCGCTGAATCTCATCGCAAGAACGTCAGCGGGGACGCTTGCGATATACTCACGCCTATAAAAAAAGACTTAGCAACCTCTCTTAAACTCCTCAAGATCAAAGGCTTTCAGGAGCTCACGTGTAGTTAACACCGTTGTAAGTGTACGACACCCCAGAGTTCCCTGCCTTTGTATCAAGCCACCTTACATAGTTGTCAACATCACCGGAATGCCCAAAATCAATGTTCAGGTTTCCAAAATAGCTGAAACTACGCTCTGACTTCAACTCCGAAGGTGGATTCATGTCGGCAAGCGCAAGGTCACCACCACCGGTTATATTTCCCGCCAGTAATAGCTCACGAACTTTGGGCAGGGCAGTAAAGCCATCCACAGGAGTTCGGTCCTGATAGGGGCCGGACCATATTGTATCCTCGTTGAGAGTGACCACTTCTAGAAGGCTACCGTAGATAGTAGCGCCCATGCGCCCATTTCCAATTGGAAGAGAGCCTTTCTCCCATTCAACGGCCGGCTGATTGTACCAAAGGTACTGGCTACCGTCCAGGGCGGCCGAGCCCGCCGCGAGGAGAAGCGAAAACACCAAGGGACGCCACGAAGCCATGATGGAGGCGTATAGGGCGAAGGTGATGGGAGGTGCGACTATGCTGCGATGCTGTAGAATCCCGCGCCTTTAAACAGGCCATAAATAAATTGTGAAAACACGAGACATCCTCTCCTTGACGCCTTCATCGTTTGCATGGAATCTCAGCGGAGGTTTCGCCAATTTCTTGTCATTGGATCCGAATTCGGTAAATGCGGAGCTAATTGCGGCAGAGCTTTTCCTATCCTTGACATCGACGGTGTAAGAATCTGGGGTATCGGTCCGGCATTCGTGGAAAGAAATCTCGCGGGGATCCGGCAATGCGTGGTGGGGAATTCGACGGGGATTTGGGAGGCATGCGCATACATCGGCCCAAAAGAGTCCTGACCCTAGGTAGTTAGCTCTCCACACCTCCATATTTTAAATAATCCAAAAACTACCACAATTATGCAACGGGTTACTGTTACCGTAATGAGATGGAATGTTGTACGCTGGCGCCCTCATCTCAGGTTGAACCACATATGACGCCCCCTGATAGATCTCATTTCGAAATACTCAGACCACGCATTGCATTTTGCCAACTCCCGCGTGCCTTTTTAAATGGACTAGCACGAAAGCAACGTCCATAGGGCCAATTGGGTACGGCTCATCCGATGAATCCTTAGAAAGTACCACCGAGTTGGCGACATCGGACCAGGTGCTAGAGCTATAGGCCTTGCTCCATTCGTAGACATGACGCGTACGTGGTAGGTACCATCCTTGATGCCGCGTAGACGTGGAACCCATATATACCGTTGACAGTTTCGGAGTATTAACGGCGCCGTTTTTACTCCGCAAAATTCGGCCATTATCACGGTAGTGTATAGAGCACCGCTAGCTGTAAGAGGTCATGGACGTGGTAGCTTCAGCGAAGCAATTGGCTTTGACAAAACTATGTGGATCCTTGTCGACGTTGAAAATGCAGCTCCCGACGTTCGAGACATAGTTGTTGGACGCATGGAAGAACTATGTCGAGGCCGTGACGGTGGTACTGTAATGTGGCGGGCTACCGGACATGTCGTGGATTTAATTGTAGGAGAAGGCAGGCAGCCTCAAACACCTCAAACGCTGCTAAGGAAGAGAGCCCAGTAGTGGTGGCTGTTACAGCCTGAAGACCAGCTGATGCCGCCTAGGCAAGTGGTGGTGATGGTTAACTGGCCCTTCGGTGTCTTCAGAGCCAATGCAATTCCACGTCAGATCGATCATGATAGTACGCGGCGTGCTATCTCTGAGTCGTGACTGAAGCCTACGTCATCCATCAATAAGCATAGGCTTCAACTTATAAATTGGCTCGTGAACGTTGGTTAAGTACTTACTAGGCAAGACTGGCAGACTCGTCACCTGTAACGCCAGTAGCAAAGCCAAACGGAGTACCGCTGAGGCTCGTTACATCAGTGAGATGCTAATAGGTTGGGAGACAGCGAAAAAAAAACAAAAACAAAAAAAAAGACATCTTCAATGTATAGTAGGCTTAGGGGAGGGAAAACATACAGGCGAAGGGCTTCTGCTCATGAAATCTAGCCTCAGAAATTATCCATAGGGGCGACGCGAGACTTACTAACCTAAACTCTAATGCTAGGGACTTCATAGTAGATGTTAGGTACTATACCTAAGGTCAGCATCTACTAAGTATCAACGGTCATTAATAGCTCCGACCCCCGGAGTTGTTCATGCTGATTTGAGATTCACAGTAGTGACAATTGGCTGAGGGACCAGATCTGCCACCCAGGGCGTTTCGGGTTTTTAGCGGCCCCGTTTTGCCTAATACCCATGTATTTGGGTGGAGTTAAACCGTTCGCAGTAAACTAGAGCGCCGGCAGCTCAACTCAAGGCAACCAGAAAAAGCCGACCCCACCGCTGACTCGCTTGCACCGCTGACTCGCTGCACCGCCACAATAACTCAATACACGTATTTGTGGAGTGGCCAATATTATGATCTCCCCCACTGTAATGAGTAAGTGGCCAAAGGGGGACTTGTTCAATTAATATGATTCTCATGTGTGCCGCGTTGTAAGATTACTCCCTGTGGCATTTGAATACTGGATGCCGTAGTGTTTCGTCTCATAATTTGCACACGTGAGTCCGGCCTACCACAATACATACATAAACTACGTATGTAGTCATAATTTATGACAGACGGAAGTCGGGATTCGGCCGAAATAATACCTAATGCTATTCGTAGCCTAGTGTAGATATAATATGGGTCGACCAGACAAGATATAGGCCATCGAGATCGTAGTTCGTGTCGGTAATTGCACTAATATTGCCGAGCTTGATCTAGAGAACAGCGAATTAGTGATACCCTTTTCAGCCAAGAATTTCCCTTTTCGGCTGCTGCCAGGATTAACCACCCAATCGTCATCTAGTGCTCCAATTGAGACATACCAAAGGACTTTAGTCTCTTCGACTTTTTAATACTGTAAGAAATCATAATTCTAATCAGGTTGTTTGGCCATCACTGAACCATGGTTGCGGGCGACATGGTTCTCAATGTTTAACATGAGTATATGGGTAAAATGATGGGCTCGCATCTCCTTTAACAAGCATAAAAGACAACTGGCTCTCCATTTTAGTTTTTCTTTCTGAATTATTGCATCACCGTCACTCGTTTCTATTTAGATGTTATTGAACCCCCTTCGGCCAAGTCGAATACGAAATCCTTCAGTCCATTATCCCCTAGTCGCACATTAGTGTTCTTCAGGATGCAAGTCAAAGCCATTATCATCTCTCTATTCCTAGCGGCCACTGTCGCAGCTGCTCCTACTGGTCCAAATGGTAACGGGGGGGCCTATCTCCCTACAAACTCAGATTCCTCCAATAACAGAAATAGTAAGTCTCATGAAGACGAACAGCCGAACAAAGGCCCGCTGACATGTGAAAGACAACCAGAGCAATCCCTCGCTTAGCAATGACATCGCGAACCGCAACGGAAATGGAAACACGGTCGCTAGTAATAACGACATTCTTAATGTAAGCAGTGGTTATGAAACAAGATATTAGCTAGAGAACTAACGCCTGTCTAGTTCAACTACGGTGCGACCAGCCGTCAAGTCTCCCAGGTATGAGTGAGGTGCGCTAATTACGAAGTAGATGATTAACGAATTGCCGCCAGGAAGTCGTGGCCGCTATGAAGAGTCTCAGTTTGATATGTCGCGGCTCTAACAGCGAGGGTGTTATGAGTTGTACATGGCAAAGCTAAACTTGATTAAGTGGGGTAGTGAACTCGATCTCGTTGCATCTAGAACTTTAGTACGGAACCAACCTCGTATAGCAGGTCGTACTTGGGAATATGAGATTCTGCTATCCGGCCATGAAACTAGCCTTGTTTAGCAACCTCCCCACACCCGATGTTCCTTTTTCAATCCTGGGGGCTAGTTTCATAGCGAGATATCAGAATCTCACATCCGCGAATACGACGTGCTCGTATCGTCATAGCCATCACGATACATGTACTATAATGTTTAATCCACTCGCATCTAATACACCTTTCCACGGTGTTATCCAATATATGCCATCCGGGATAAAGATAATACTTTTCTTTCTACAAGCTTATACCTTTCTATCCCGCTCAACCAGTTATTTTGTCCGTATCGTTGATGAGGTGCGAGTGTCCTGGATATTGACGCTATTGTACTTGTCTTTTAAGCCTTGCAAAGACGGGCGAGTCTAGTCAGGCTTCACTATAAGTACATTGACTTACTACCTTACCTACTAGATATCCATGTAGGCGCGGGTAGTCCCTCGCCCCGCTTTGTACCTGTAAGCCCGAAAATCTTTGGAATCTTTTTTATGTGCGGGTCCCCTTCAACCCGTTCCCACGACACCCGACCTAGACTGATACAGTAATCTAGGCCATCGGTTACAGTTCTTATTGCTATTAATTCCAACACTGGCTATTGTTATTGCACAAAGAAGAAAGCCCCTACCTACATATTAAAGATAGTAGTAGTAGTATATACGTGTATGTGCCCATTAATCCATTACCCCCGGTCTCCTCCGGAGGTTGTCCCGTAGCGTTCCGTAACACACTCGTCCAAGTTCCTCGATAACATCGCTGACTCGTCGATTTCCCTTGTTGCCTGGTTTCGTGGTGCAATAATTGGTTATCACGTCAGTCTAACACACTGAAGGTCTCCGGTTCAAGTCCGGGCGAAATCAGGAGTCTATCATTTGCTGGAGCATCCTACATGGACAGGCAACTGAGAGTTTTGGTCTTTTTGTGACAAGTTAGAGCGTCATATGGCATCAGTGCCTATACTCTATGAGCTTGTTTGTTTCCAGTGCAACAAAGGGTTATGGTTAAAGGATTTCGAATTGCAATGATCCCCAGATAAGTCAAGGAGCCATTTATGTCTGGTTGCCCTCTATCCTCTAATAGATGGGAGATCTCTAGTCTATATGCCTGAATAGCCTTGGCTCTGGTTGCCACTATCTCGCATATTCCTGCTTTCCTGTCCCCATATTGTGGTTTCAGATCGGTCAGGGTATAGTATACATGGGTAGCTGGATAGCTCAGGATCATGCTCGTATGATAATATACAGAACAAGTAAGCCCCAGGTTTTAGATTAGCGACCCGGTCCTTTGGAACGAGTGACACCCAGAAATAGACCCAATATTACTCAATTGCATTTTATGACAGGACATTCCTTCCTACGGGGAAGGTGGTTTCTACAGCAGTCGGTTATGTTGTGGTGTTGTGAAGAGATGGCTCGGCGTTGTGCCATTCCATTACGTGAATCTCCCAGGGGTCAGTGGTCATTACTACTGACCTCGTGCATATTACAGTCATAGGTGATTGGAGGTTGGCCGCGGGGTATTATGCCACACGACGGTCTCGATCATATCATATTTCGGCGTTATTCTCTCCTCTTCACATCTACTACTTTCATCGTCGCCATTATTTTCCTGGACAAGCTGTCTGTCGCAAAAATAGATAAGGGGAGAAGAGGCGGTCGGCGGTGATAATCGCCTATGTACGCATCTATAGCAAGCATTCAACGCAAGCATCGATGCGACTAAGTACAATAGAAGCTTGTACTACAACCAATGCATTAGCACAGCGTCGGAGGGACTCACCTCGATGCCAAAACAAACGGTATGTGCTATAACGTTACCAATGCTGGTGCTTTGAGGCCAGCCAATAGGCCAACACGATTATCGATTTTACTCATATATAGACTAATACCTAAATACAACCAAAGCCGATAAGACGAACTAGATTAATACAAAGAAAATGCCGTTCCCACACCAATTTCCGGGGATGTACTTGCTTGTAAAGAAGGGCAATGCAACACCGCTAGTAGCAGCTACCGAACCAACCCCTGCTCCCAACGCCGGTTCAGCACTAATAGCGCCGGACTAAAAGCCATCCAAGGTCCAGAAGAAGAAGAATAAAAGAAAAGTAACAAATAAAGTAACAAAAAGCTACTAAGCGCATCCTCCGGATCGTGCATATTTAACCCGGGTCGCTACTACGGGTATAAGTACACTAGAAGGGCTCGGCTATTCGGGGTATTCCTACACAACGACACAGGAGGATGAATATGAAATAGGGGGGCCAGACCATACACATTGCACCTCGGACTTCGGACAATTGGCATGTGTGCCTATCCCGATCCTTACTAATGATGGAGCAACCGAGGAATAACATACAGTACACATCTCAGATCCATCGGGTAACACGATAGCGGGGTAATACCCCCTATTACTCTTTGAGGACAGCAGCAACATATCAGCTTGACATCATACGAACGAATGTCAGCCTGGTATCTGGTCAAGATAAGTTGGCTCGAAGTAACATTCGCCTATGAGCCCGCAGGAGTGGATAGAATGTGATGGAGTCGCATCGAAATCCAGGCCACTATCACTGCCGTTAGGTATATTAATCCATCCTTCTATATTAATGGTCGAACGTATTAATGATACATTTTGAATGGTAGCTACTTTCCGTATCGTGCACCTTTGCGTATTACATTGACGGAGAAGCTCGCACATGTACCGAATAGTATACTCTTCCCACTTGTCAACCTTAGAGAGAGTTGGGCAGCATTGCCGCAGGTGGTCAATTTAACCTTTTCGATATAGCCAAAGACTGGCCGCACTGGCATGTTCTTTTTTTTTTCTATACTTCATCTTCGGTGCGTTAAGCAGAAGCGCCAGGACCTCGATTTGCCCACAATAAAGACCAATGTCCAGACCCCGTACCTAAGTGAAAAAGCACATTTTTGCTAAACTGGAGGTAGCACTGAAATGTACAACTTGTTTCCATACGTTGTAAGATCCTTAGTAAACTAGTCACATGCGGCTCGAATCTCATTTGTGGAGCAAATCGTAGACTCCGAATTTTGGTCCCACCTTGATGCACCTCACCACACCACATGACTGACTATATACTATATACTATATACATATATATACTTCAGGAGTTGATAGCCCCACTAAAAAAATGTTTTCCATCCCATATATTATTCCTCATTGAAGCATTCACCCCATGTTTTTCAGTTACCCGCGGAACTGGAGACTGCCTAGAGGCTAGCCAGACGTCGGGGGCACGCCGGTCGCACCTCCACCGAGATACCAGGACCCGATGTCAGTCAATTTACCAGCATTGTTCAGGAATGTCGCGTTGGGACCGACGTTGCTAACATTTGACTAAACAATAACAGTTAGTGAATGCCGTTCAGGACCGAGATCTCAATTGCTTTCCGGGCATCATCGGGTCTAAGGGCGAGAGCCCTGGCCGCTCAGGAACGGGATTGGCTATGACTTACCCGGAAAGCGCCAAACCAGGAGTACCGCTCGAGATTGCTGAGGCCATCCAAGTATGGGATGGCCTGGTTATAGAATTGCTGCGTTGTTGCCAGATCCACATTGGGATCCGTGAATTCGGTGAGCCAGATCTTTGGGGGGTGAAACCTGCGTTACCTTTATTAGCAAAGCCCCGGACAGAGAAAACATAAGCCCCCAGTTCGAGCGGGAGATTTGATCGGCGTTCAACATGCGATTGGGTGCTTACTGGGAGTTGACCTGGTTAAGGAGCGACTGTAGGCCCGCGAAATTATTGTACCAGTGGATTGGCAGGAAATCATAGGGGCACTGGTTTGCAATATGTTGCTGCTGCACTAACTGTGTACAGTTGCCCAGAAATTGATCCAGCCACTGCAAACCAAAATCATCGCCGTTGACGGCCGGTAGACCAATTCGCACTCCTGCTTTCTGCAGTGGGACGAAGTCGGCAACCCAACCGATTGCTGCAGTGTTGGGCGTAAGTTGAGCACCGCCATAGGAATATGGATATTCTGGCTCATTGTAAGCGAGCACGTTCTTGATAGCTCGACCGCCGGCGATAAGCTGCTTAACATAAGTGCTAAAGCTCGTGTCCAAGGGGTTGCTGCTCTGTCCCCATTTCTGCGGGACAAACTCGATCTGAGACTGGGGAACAGAACTGTATTGGCTGCTTGGCGCCTGCCCATAGTTGTAGTACCAGGCCAGATCGGACCCTGGCTGAATCCAAATAGAATTGTCTTGCGGCCAGTTAGAGTTAGGTATGTGGATGAGACCGCGTTTCGCAGATCTCGTGGCAGCAACTGTTGACGCCAGCAACAAGATTGAAGATTCGGCCTTCATGATTGCTACTTCGAACCAACAGCAATAAAACTTAAACAAGAGAGGTAAGTGATGCTAAAGTACTTGGGCAAAAGTGCTTTGGTACTTTCGACAAGAAAAAGGACGGGAAGCAATTGGCGGCCTGTTATATAGAAACGAACTGAATCATCATACCACGCACTCAATTCATGACGACGATGATGCGAGCGATTTGGAACGCCGCATGGTAAGGGGTTCGCACCTCACCGTACGCTAAGAAACATCGCAGCTTTCGACCGCTAGGACTCGGTCCGATAATAGAATTTGAGTCTGTCACAGCGACGGCATTATTTTGTATTTCTCGCATGGCTGCTTATGCGCCTATTCGGCTTTATTCGCGCCACACCTCGACCTATTAAGGGAGTTAGTTACCATGACGACTAATGAGAGCAAACCTCCAGTTAACCGGAGACCAGACTATTATGGGGATGTCTTGAATATGCTGGTGAGCTTTCTTTCTATTACTTAAGTATACTATCTTGTTAAGTATAGGGTAATATGATGGTACTATACTATTGTTTGGTGCTTGAGTCATCTCCATTGTATTGTGTTAGCGTGCTACCTCTCCCTGTAGGGCTAATAACCCAATCCTTCGTCTCGTTTCCTTTCTTTCGTAGGCTTGCACCCAAAGAGCAGGTCGTTGAGATCCCCAACCTGCAAAGAATTTGCATTACCGGAGAACTATAACGGCTTCGCTAGATAGTCTGTCTCCCCGCAAACCATCTGATGGCAGAAGCTTGACACTAATAACTAGTCTCGGTCATTTTGTTCTTGAGACGAGACTGTCACCTGCTTGAGGCCGTCATCTTAACTGCCACGTACTGTATCCCCTGCATCCCCCCTGTTCTCGATAGAGAAGGTGATGTGCCAGAGAAATATACTTGTGCTCAACTTATTCGACGTCCTAGCGGCGACTGCGTGAACTAATCTGCCCTGCTTACCCCTGTCCATGAACGCCCGAAGTTGGCACCTGTATCTATCTATCGGCCCGTGCCCGGCTTGGCAGGCCCCCCGGATTCGGGTTTTGCGACCCCATGGTCCTGCCCATGGGGGCCCGCCAATGGGTCTCGTGGGCCAAGCCTATTTGGCCTGGTCATTCAACCCCAAGTTACGAACTGGCACACCGTCTTTGCACACATTCGCTGATTCACTCACTGATTCGGCCCTGATACATGGTAGCAGCAGCTAGACGTGCAGAAGGTTATGAGAATGGCCGAATGAACCATGACTAGTTTGCCATTCTCGACTTGCCACCAGACGCCTTCGTGTGGAGGCTGCCGAGCCGCCAAAACCAAGGCAGACAGAATTAGGGGCAGCCTGGTATATTGAAGGATGAAGGATGAAGGCTTGAAATCTCAAATTGCGATGTCGTCTGTGAATTAAGTATATATATCGTCGTAAGATCGCCCTGCTGTGACCGGTTTTGTCTAGATGTGACAGCGACAGAATACAGACCTCTACCCCTGATTTGCCTACTCCCACAGGGTGAGCTTCTTCTCTATCCATCGCCATG